CCTTTTACCTCTTCCCAACTCAGCCCTATTACCTATTACCTCTTCCCAACTAAGCCCTATTACCTCTTCCCAACTCAGCCCTATTACCTATTACCTCTTCCCAACTCAGCCCTATTACCTCTTCCCAACTCAGCCCTATTACCTCTTCCCAACTCTCCCACCGTCAAACCTCTGAAAGACAAGTACGTCTCTACGACATAAAACGCTTAACGTAGGAATGGGGTGGACATTCACCGTTTTTTACGATGCTCAATATTGATTAATATATACTTATATCTGTCATATGATGGAGTGAAAGATGCCCAACTAATGTGCCCTCAATACCCACAGCACCACACATAATGTTCGTGGTGATGGTGTGCTAGATACCAACTGATGTGTACTCGTATAGCACAACAAATCATTTTGGAATCAAGCTTGGCTAGCAGTTGTTGATAAATAATGCGCTTCAATTTGCCAATAAATTAACCATGTGTGATACGATGGTGTGCAAGATGCCAGCTAATGTGTACTCAATACCCACAGCACCACACATCATGTTCGTGGTGATGGTGTGCTAGATACCAACTGATGTGTACTCGTATAGCATAGCTATTATACTTCGTAATACGATGGACACAAAAGTGTGCTGTGTACAATACGTCGTTGCCAACACTCATAAAAAAATTGTACATAAATCATCAAGATGCTACATCAATCCTACCCACTGTATGGAGTGTTCGTCACACGACTTATGAACGAAAAATTAAGGTCTCTCTGAATAATCACTCAAACCTATCCTCGATACCAGATCCACTGAATTACGCATCAGTAATTCTCTTTTTCAATCATCAAACTAAAACCTGTATAATAGATGAACTAATTTCTTCAATGTCACGTCGACACTTTGTAGTGTATAGTACACAGCATACAGTCTGCAGTGATAACCTAACACGGTCACAAATTGCTGCCCTGAAATCGGTTCTCAGCGCGCACGCGGCATTCAGGGTCTTATAATTCAGTGCTAGAAATCAAAAATGTATTCGTTCTGCTTGGGCTTCACCACGCACGGTCGCCCCAATCTTAGTTCGGCGCTAGGGAACAAAAAAATCACTCAGTGATTTTTGTACACAGTGATTCTGTACCATCCACTGATTTTGTACTCAGTGATTTTGTACCACCCACTGAGTGAAAAATCGCTCAGTGGGTGAAGCAATGGGCCCATTGCTACACCCCATTACCAAGTGGCAATGAGCCGATGGGCTTGGGGCAAGGCGCCAACCCCTGGTCACGTTACCCAAATTGCATTTTTTTTGTTTTATATGTGATAAAACAACACTTTACAGTTTAAAATAAGAAAAATGTAATAAAAAATATCACATTCATTCATTAACAACTGGATAGTTCATATCATCAACTGGAAAAAATATATTCTTGCCATAAAAAAGTCATCCTTGAAGTGAAAAAATGTATCCTGTACTAGAAAAAATAATTAACTTGACCAGAAAAAAACTTCGTTCCAGTTTCGTCCATAATTCAGATGTCATGTGCAGGGAATTTGTACCTAATCGTGATTTCCGCCAACACCATAAAAACTCATCAACTTTTGGCTCATTGGTGTTGGCTGACATCAACGTTTGGCAAGGCAAAAGTCAACAACTAGTACCAAACTTGTTGGTTGAGGAATGCGAATATTCATATAGTGCCGCTCCATAAAATTTTTCAGCCAATCCTTGCCAGCCTTATTTTCGCTTTTTAAATAGGCGATTTTTATTATGTCGTCCAGCAACACTGATTGCAATTCTTTTCACATCTGTACATGTTAGTCCAAACATTCATTTTCGCATATCTTTAATGCGCGTAACTATTGCATCCTTCAGTATTAAAATCACTTGGCTGCTTAAGTCGCAAATTTACCAGGAATTTAAAAGTAAAGAAAATGGAAGAAATGGTGAACTTTTTGGCTATTTCTTTACTTTTAAATAGCATCCTTCAAGGATGTAGTTATCGTATTTTCCTAAACAAAGAACTCCTGGGCCCATAGTCAACCTCTCAAAAAAGTTAAGAGATCGTAAGTTCATTCGCCAATCATTGACGCCTTTCAAGCCAAATCCACCAATCACAGTCAAGAAAATAGAGCGTAAGTACTTACCTTTACTTAGCGAGCTTTGAAAGGATGGCCCCTGGTTGCTTCATCTTTCCATCTTTGTGCCGACACAACGTTTACTTGGCAATTTTAACTCTTGGTAATTTGTCTTTCCTAATTTCCTCCAAGACATTCTAGAGTTCTGACAATAGTTGGCTATATTGGTCTTCCTTTTATAGTTGCGCATATTCTGAGGCTATGTGTAGATATTGCATGCTGATGGTTGGCGTTGGGCCCAGGGCCTGTTTACGAGTCAATTTTGTTACCCACGGCTGCGCTCCCATCAAGACAGAACAGTTACGAATGTGACGTTGCTCGTCAGATTTAACCCACCAAGTTCCGACTATTTTCGTCTTATCTTTCAAAAATCGTTCACGTATTTCTGTCTGCTAGGAACATATGATTATGGTTGAACTACAGGAACTTCTTATGGTTGAACTACATAAGGTTGACCCACGAGAAGTTCCGTCTTTCAATTCAGCTTTCTTGTTACGTCACGTAGATCGAGAAACGTAAACAAACCCGTCATTCCCATGTCGGATTGGCTGACTGGCTTGATCGCATTTCGATGATTGGTTAATGCCCGTGACGTCACTGGGATCAGTGACGTCACAGGCGAATAACGAACTACATCCGCAAAAATGGGCTTCTGATGAGTCAACCTTATACTAGTTCAATCATGGCCTAGGCAGCCTCACGGCCTCACCCAGTCACCCATCCTACCAGTAGAGTAACCACAAACCACAAACCAGTAACCAATCAGTGACTCAGTCAAGTCCAGTGCGGCGCCTGCCGTAAGTGAGGGAGGTTGTGGCGTGCTGCAGTCGGTGCCTGCCCGCTCCGTGAATAGTGCTAATATCGCGAGTTTCCCGTGGTAATTCACATTAGATAATAGTTCTAATGGAGTGTTTTTGCAACAATTTTATCGGCGTTTGTGTCTTTTCCCTGACTCCAGGAAGGAGGCGGTGTCTTATCTTGCCCTCACAGCATGGCGGTGTCTATCTTGCTTGGCTTGCCGCAGGATTGCATCAGGTTTTGTGCTGCCGCCGCCGGCCGCTACGTGACGGCGAACAGCTGAGATATGCCGTTATTATCTTACTATTTAACACGTTGACTCCGAAGTGGTACAAATGCGTACCACGAATGTATTTCTCCAGGACGTAGTGGTACATAATTCAGGTTCCTAAAATCGGCCAAATCCGAGAACAAAAAAGGCCAATGACTCAATATATACTAGTTTATTTGTAGGTTCCGCTATAAAAATCCCATTTATTTTCTTTTTGCGGTATTAAAAATTTAATTAGGAAGTACCCCTATCATAAATTTTAGCCGCCCAGCGCAATTGAGAAAAACTAAATCACGGAATTTGTCCGGAAAAAATGACCGTCTGGCAACCCTGTTCAAAAACAGTACAAAAAATGAAATAATAGTACAAGATGAAGCAATCGTAGTCAACGTGTTAACGCAGCTATTCACCTGTTATTGCTCATATATATTTTGTTGTTGCTGAACTGTTCTGTTAAGCCTGGGAGAGTAGCCCTCGACTTGGGTAGGGTGGGGGGGTCTTCGACTCAATCCACGCACAGAGAAAAGTATTGCGGGAGACTACTTTGTTCTCCACCTACCGCCTCTTCTACCCAACCTTACTGCCGACTTGTGTTTCATTGCGTCTCTTCTGATTTGAAACATATTGGGTAATTTTAAGATATTATCCTCTAAACTTATTCTCTTATCTCTCGATTCCAGGTATCGTAATCGCATTTCAAACCCAACCGCAGCCATTGGCACAATAAACGTAATCAAANCATTGAAAGACAATTCCAGTCTGACCCTAAAACCAAATTCAAGTTTTCTGCCGGAAACCAGTCGTACGTTTTGAACTTCATTACTATGACCCAAACCAACACCTCGACAGGCAAAGTACGAGAGGTACGTCGGCTTAATCAACCGGTATCCCTGACTGGATCTAGTCCTTCGATTGCTCAAA